GATTCACACACAGACAGTAAACTATCGAAAAAGCCAGCAAAGATTAGCACAAATTTGGGAGAATGGTAGCCTCTTGTAAGGAGAGGGAGGGAGATGCAGCTGAGGGAGCAGGCAGAGGCGACTTCTAAGGAACAAGTCATGTTCCTGGTACTTAAGCTGGGTGAGCAGTACATGGGTGTTCATTTTATTGTTCTTTAAAATGTACTTATTTAGCATACTCTTCTAACCGTCTGATACATTTTACAATAAAACATGTTTTAGTAATTGTGAAGCACAGCGATTCCTTGACAATCAGAAGCCGCTGGAAGCAGCCTGGCAGCCTCTTCTCACCCCAAGGCTTACCAGTTCTTGCAGGCCTTCCTCTTTTTCCCTTCCCCACAGGAGGCAGCCCGCAAGGAAGCTGGGTCTGGCTTCTTCATATCTTCTGGATCCAGCAGTTCATCTGAGTCAATGAGATCCTGGAGAATGTTCGAAGCCATTAATGACCCAGTCATGGTCTCTGCTAATGAACAGGTGAAGTGGCCACAGTCCACAGCAGCAGTTTGCCCATCTATGTAGAAGGCAGCCATCATCCTACCTGGGCTTGATCATCACGCCCAAGCTGACCACATAGTGAGTACACTACGTGCACAGAAGCTGTGTTAGGCTGTGAGGGGGCTGGGGACTCATTTATGATGTGCAGAGAATATGTGTGTGGAGGGCAGGGAGGGAGGGGGCAGGAAGAACAAAGAGAGAAGCGTTATATTTATGCGAATATATAAAGGGCTGTCGTGTGAGAAAAGGGAATGGAATATTTTCTATATAATTCCAGAGGAAAAGGCAGATAATGATATATACACTTGTGTGATTCTTCGATAAACGTGTAGACAGTTAATCTGTAAGCTCTGTGAGGGCACAAACCGTCGCCTAGTTTGCTTACCACTCTAACTTCAATAGTTGTAGGAATGAAGAACTTTATTACAGAAAGCATTGATCTGAGTTGGAAGAGCATTACTGTTAAGACAGTGAGCATTTGGTGACTTGCCCAGACGAAGGAGCCAAAAAATATTTTAGCTGACAAACTCTTTTCAGGTTTACGCATGCCCACAAGAGTCTTTAATATATCACATGAAGTGAGAACAAGAAAATCTGCGGGGGGAAAGATGCTGAAAAAGAAATTTAAAATGCCACTAATGAGGAGTTTCCTTCTGAGTCAAAAAATGCCAATGGCAGGCACAGCCACAAGGCTGGGCTTTAAATGCTTTCACACCTACAAACCCAGAGAGGCCACTCCAAACAACAACATTCCCACCCAAAGTGGGGCCTGAAAGAAAGCAATCAGGTGACCACAGTGCTGACTCACCACGCTCTCATCCTCCATATCATTGGCTGAGAGGGTCCAGAGCTTGGCAGCTGCAGGGTCCATAGCAGGCTTCCCTGAATCCAACCAATGAAAGAAAACAAGCTCCAGAAAAGCAGCTGGAAACAAACTCCAAGCACATGTAAGTGCTTTCTACTGAGGCTGTGCAGGGAACACACTGGACCTGGGTTCAAGGCCCAGCTCTATCACTTATAAAGGCATGAGAGGGACCCATCACTTTATGGCAATAAAAGCCATCATTTGTTAAGCTTTGTGCCAGATACTACATTAAACATTTTACATACATGATCTAATTTAGTCCTGCTCACCACCTTATGAGGAAAGTTCTTGTCATCCTAATTTTATAAATGAGGAAAGAGGTTTAGATACTTAGGCCAGTTACACCCAGCCACAAATACACAAGTACAGACAGAGTCTACCTAACGCTTTTAACTTCCACTCCATATTGCTTTCTCCTCCTTCTCTTAGTTCCCATCCCTAGAACATGGGGCTAATAGGATTCCCTATGCCCACTGCAGGAGATTTGAATATGAAACAAGAAACTGTACCAAAAAGCATTATAAATAGCAAAGCTCCGGTCTCATGTAGACCTGTTACAGACAAGAAAATGGGCTCAAGAGCTGATGGCGGTGGCGTAACAACAAATCAGTAGCAAATCACACCTCCTGATTCTCTCTCTGGGCCCGAAAGAGCTGAGGGTTCAGTGTGGGCCAGTCCACGAATGGGCCTTGGCGGGTAAGTGCACCCCCCAGAGATCACTGTCACACTGGATGCTCAGATCTCCCACAGGGCAGGCCATCTAAGCTGCTCCTACCCATTCTGGAACTGTGACTCCAAAGGTTAGGATGCTAAAGGATTTCTTGAAGATTTAGGCTGGACAGTCAAAACAGAGCAGTGTGAATACCTGTAAATTTTTGCATACCTCACAGCTAGGACAATTTTTCTCAACTCAGGCATTAAAAAATAGTGATAGGAAGGGTGAGAATGGTGAAAAAGGGTGGAGTGCAATCTTCTGAGAGGAGATATTTTTATAAGTGTCTTAAGATCCTCAAAGAAAAGCTGAATTCAGTGGCACAGAGAAAAGGACACATGGGAAGAGGAATAGCACACTCTTATCCGCCATGACCGTCACTGTGAGGTCTTCTGAGGGTAAATGTCATAATTCTGGGGTCTGGAAAGACTTCATTAACTAATGAAACTATGGGAGTCTGACCTCTAGTATCTGGAGACCTCAGTGTCCTCTGGTGCAGAAGAAGGGGCTGAACTAGGTAATATCTACGCATCATTTCAGTATTGGATCCGAATATGCCCAGAACAACAGTACATTAAGCATTCTTCCACTTGGAAATGAGGGAAATTAAGGAAGGGAATGATCCTCTAAAGATATCACCACCTCATTCAGATCTCTGGCTCAGTTTTTAATACGGCTTTTCAGGCCCACTCAGACAGAACAATATCCCTAGGCCAGTCTCACCGGAAGACTTCTTGGTAGTAGAAAGCTTAAGTTGACTAGAAGAACCCACTTCAAAATTGGGCTTTTTTCCTGTGATCTGCACAGAGAGCAGGCTGTCACTGTGGTAACCCAGGTGTTCTCGGACAGACTGAATCTCCTCGGGGCTCAAGAACTTGCGCTGCAGCTGAAATTCAAGATATCAGAGGATTAGGCCACGCTTTTTCTACCGTATGGTGGTGTACTATGTCCCCCTCACAGGTGTCAAACGCTCACGTCTGCAGTAAGCGCATGACAGCAGGAGATCGCAGACGTTGCCTCGTGCCACACGTTCGGTTTCTCACTGATCAGGACCCTGGAGTGTAACTTCTGTCTACGTGTTTATGTTGAGCCTGCCCCTTGGAGAGTTTTATCAAATATCTGTCTATTAGGTACAAGGCACTGTGCGAGGCATTGTGGAGATTGTAATGATTATGATTATCAAGATGAATCGGACATGCTGAAGAGGCTGTTGAATGGAATCGAAGCCTGTGGCGGGGGAGCATGCCCACAGTAAAGATGCTAGAAATGAAATACGCAGTAGAGAAAGAGAACCACGGGGGGAGGGAAATGCTTTCTATGTTCCTTGGGAAGAAGCAGCAGACAGGAAAGGTCGGGAAGAAGCTGGGGGTGCTACCTCTATGTCCGACAATTATGGAACCGCTACATAAACCACAGTCCATCTAGAGCACTGAACGCCGTTCCATAATTAGTAAGAAAGTGGGTCAATACACTAAGATGGATAATGTCAAAGACAGCTAAAGGTGGGGGAAAGAGCTAGTGACTGAACACTGTATACATACGACCTTATTTACATTAAAAAATGTGTATACACACACACAAAACACACTTGTAAATACATAAAAAGAAGTCCGAACAGCCACACCAAAAAATGTATTGGTGGCTCCCGCTGGGGAGGAAAGTGTAAGCAAGGCCTGAGATGTCACTTTATATTCTTCAGTCTTAACTGAATTTTTATGAACATCCCATATTTTGGAATAAAAGATGGAAGAACTTTAACTAAAGAGAAAAATAAGAAAGGGTAGGTGTGAAGAAACTGAGGCCCTAGGTCATGTACAGATCAATGGTATAACAGCTATTGTGGTATAACACTTCTCACACAAGAAAATTTCAGCATTGGAGAAGAATGGAGAACCATAAATACCTCTATTTAATGTTAATATTTCTAATGAATTGTCAGAAAAGGATTTCCCCCTCCAACCTATTCTAGCCTCCCACCCAAAAGCTGAGGAAAATACAGGCAACTGCCCTTCACTTAGGCCTAAGATTCGTGTCCACTAAGAGATGCCTCAGTGGTCACCACTAGTACTGAGACCAAAATATGTCCCAACCCACATGGGCCCAAGCTGAGTCTCTTCAGAGGAGATTGATTTCAGAGGTTTCGTCCTTCGAGGCATCTGGTTTCTCCCATGCAGAGCCCTTCTCAACTTGTTTCCTAGTTGAGTGACACTGATCACCTCACCTTCAGGGTTGTTATTTCTCCCAGATTCTCTCTGTATCGTCTGACAAAAGAGATACTGGGTTTAGTCACCCAAGGCTTAAATTCCCAGCAAAGAAGGTCGTCTACAAACATACCTCTTTTACTTCCACAAGACCAGAAAGAGTCAGGGCTGAACACAGCTTAGATGCCGTCTTCACTTTGCTATTGTTAACTGCTAAGAGGAAAACCCCAGTTAATAGCTTTATAGGCCAAAGCAGGAAAAATAATAAAGGCTCTCTCCTATTCAGGTCAGCAGGCATTAAAACAACAATAACCTATTCTGTTCAATATATATATATTTTAGTGATAATATTTTAATTGGACAACTCCTTTTGGTTGTTCAAAGTGCTCTTACTGATGCTCTTAAGTGTCATAAAACCGGCTCAGTTCTTTGTGGCTGTCTGGAGGGGTGGGATAGGGAGGGTGGGAGGGAGGGAGACAAAGAGGGAAGAGATATGGGAACATATATATATGTATAACTGACTCACTCTGTTATAAAGCAGAAACTAACACACCATTGTAAAGCAATTATACCCCAATAAAGATGTTTAAAAAAAAAAAAAAAAAGAAGCTTCAAAGCCTTCAAAAATACAATCACCAGTCTAAACGCAACTTGATTCTGTGAAGATGAAAGGTTCTCACCATTGATGTTACTGATAGATCAAACTGTAGTTATCAAGCGAAGAATAATCAGGGTCATCTGCAAAGGGCAGAACACAGAGCAACATTAAGTTAACATTTTTTCATGATAATATATTAGGCCTTTTCAAATCAAGGCATCCCACTCAGAGTCTGGTGACTGCCATTTTGTAAGAAGAAAATATATCTGGCAACAAAACCTACAAATAATAGTCATAACTACAAGTCAGAAAACATATTGGAAATCGCTATTATGATTTCTTTGCCATTTTTCAACCATGCCCAGATAGCAGTCCCCACAGTAAAATCACCTTCAAAAATGGACAAAAGTAAGTCCCACAGTATCAAGTGGCAATTATAAGGTAACAAGAAATCAATTAACTTAAATCCTTATCTAGTTCAAAGATGTAATTTCAGCCACTAAATTTTTCAGTCACTAAATTTTTGCTAAGATGCTAAATGCAGCCCAAGATGTCTCTTCCCTCTTCCTTTGAACATAGATAGGCGTATCTTTCTTTTATTCAAATAATGGGTATTTGTTGAGCACCTACTATGTGCCCAATACTGTGTTATGTTTTGCGACTGATTCAGGAGAAAACAAAGTGCCTGCCCTCAAGGATCTTGTAATTATCCAGGGAATACAAATTAACAAAAAGCGCTAAGTGTGTGGTTCTCCCAGAGGTATCATAGGAGTTCAGAGAGAAAAAGAGACCAGGGTGCTCAGTGAAAGATCAAATTATAGGCAGTGTAGAAGATACATAATATTAGGTTACATGTTTCCAGACATCATCTATAAATTACATTTCTGTGTAATCCAAAGGAAACTATATCTCAGTTTTGCTGTTCTCATGGTCTCTATAAGCTATAAAATAGACCACGAATTACCAAATTCCACTCTGTGACAAACAGTATAGTTTCTAATAATAGGTTCATTCTCTTGGAAATTTGATTCTATTTATTCCCTTCTTTCCTTTTATTTCAAAATTCTAGCTACTCAACCTAAGATTTCAAACAATCTTTACCTGGTAAACTTTTAGGAACTGGGAGAAGTCTTCTCCTGTAAGAAATGAAAACGAAAATCTTTCAGATAAGTTCTTGTTATTTTTCTAATTTTCTACTTCGCTCTACAAACACTGCATGCTAAACAGATCAGGTTTCTGCTCTGGAGGGTTAAGAAAAGTTCAGAGGAAGCAAAAGCTCTGCAGCGCTGACCTCCTGGATCCAGGCTGCAGACATTACATTGTTCTGGGGAGCAGGATGCACAGAGCCCTGCCCCGCAGCCCAGAAATCTCAGTCACGTGGGCAAGAGCTCCTGATCGCCTTGATAAAAAATGGGAAGTCAAACAGTTCCTACCTTGCTGTCAGAGTTAAAGGAACTAACTCAAAGTTACTGCTTTGAGCAGTGCTTGGCATTCTTAAACAGTGGTGATGAACTTGCACTTCCCCATCAAACACTCCCTTATCTTTTTAAAAACTGGACTGAAAATTCAACAGCTTAGACTCCAAGGTGACTGTATGTGAAACAGAAGTTTCTCTTCCCTCAGGATCCTTTATATCAAGGCAGCAAACTTTTTCTGTAAAGGGCCAGATAGCAAACGATTTAGGCTTTTCTGGCCACACAGCATTTCTATCTCATCACTACTCAGCTCCAGTGAGAAAGCAGCCGTAGACAGAATGGAAACAGATGAGTGCAGTCATCTTCTAACAAAGCTCTACATATGAACACTGATGTTTGCATTTCATGTAATTTTCACATGTCACAAAACAGTATCCTTTCAGTTCTTTTCAACCATTTAAAAACATGAAAACTATTCTTAACTTGCAGGCCCTACCAAAACAGGTAGGTCAGATTTGACTCACAGGGGACCAGAGTTTTCCAGCTCTTGCTTTCTACAAGAAAGGTATAGGATTCATGCATGAGTAATAATAATTACACTCAAGCATGATACAATCCCCCTCCAACTATGACTAGTACAACCCATTTAACATTTGTCCTAAAAATGCTATTTCCAAAAACCTAGCACTCACTAAGCAAATGCAATGGTAGAGATATGTTCTGATTCTAATACGTCCATATTAGAATTGGAACACTAAAAATAAAAATGTTCTTTAAAAGTACTTTTCTTTTTTTTTTTCTTTTTGGCCACACTGCGGCATGTGGGATCTTAGTTCCCTGACCAGGGATCGAACACACGCCCCCTGCAGTAGAAGCACAAAGTCCTAACCACTGGTCCGCCAGGGAAGTCCCCAAAAGTACTTTTTTTCATGTGAAAGAAAGCTGGATATTACCTTGCCAAGTCAGACCCCGTAGCCTTTCCTGGTGGGGCAGCATTCTTCTGGGGGCAGTAGAAATTCTCGTACATGATGGGTGCTAGGGAATCATCAAGACATAAAACATTAAGAGGCTGATGACTTCCATTCTCAATGACCTGTGACAAGAAAGACTAATAAAATTGCTTAATTAACCCCCCACCCTACAGCTCCATTCACCTGGTGGAGCCTGTCCAGTTTTGCGTTGATTCACAAAGTACTCAATGTCCTTCTCAATGCTGCACATTTCTAAACTTTTACGGACTTCTTCATACATCTAACAAAAAGAAGATAAATCAAGGTAGAGGTATACGTCCATAAAAATGGTGACACAGCTTATTAAAATAGGAGGTTTGATGAATGGCTGTTTTCCAAATTTTGCTTTGAAAAGAAAAAAGAAGACATTCCCAAGTCCTGGACTCATATAAAGGGATTTCTCTGATGCATATCTGCATTTAAATTTTTTTAAAGATGACAAAAAAATATAGATTTTTTTTTTTTTGTAGCAGCACAGAAACCTTGGTGGAAAGATTTTTTTTTTTTTTAAACTACTAATGGGACAAAGAAAATAGATACCAAGTCCCATGACCAATTCTACACACAAATGCAAAGACAATTGGAGAAAAGTTCTTCCAGTCAATCCTACTTGTTTTCTGGGTGTTTAATTATTCTTCTAAAGTGAATGTCCCATCTAAGCGAGGGTGGCTATTTCTTAGGAAAGAAAGTGGTGATAATTTGATTCATGTCCCCCTGGTGATAATTTGATTCATGAATTTGATTCATGTCCCCCTGAGACCTGGGAACCCATGACAATTGCTGTGTACAAGTTAAGTCTGGATCACTAATGGCCCTGGAACACTGCTGAAGTAAATCCTGAGCCCTGGAGTGACCGTTAGCCTGGGCATGGCTCAGTCTGCTAGTCCTTGGTGCTGTCCTGGAGTGACCCCATTTCAGACTGGAGCAGTCTCTGGGACTCACATTCATTTTGTGACATCTCTGTTTTCCATAAATTAAACTGCATTTGGGTCTCCCTTCTCTGCTCTCCTGCTCTGACCCTGAATTTCTTAGAGAGAAAGTCATGGTGGTAAAGTGAAACAAGAGTCAGGCAGGTTAGGTGTTTATCTGGGTCCATACTCACCGTGTGGCCTTGGGCCAGTCACTGTACCTACCTGGGCCTCAAATGAGGGGGATGAACTAATAAATGTTTATGGTTCCTTCCACTCTAATGAATCTAATATGCAAAGCATCCTCCGTGGATGCCTCTGACTTACGTTGTCGCTTGTGACACATTGTTGTGACAGCTGATTCATGTGTAACCACAGTGCATTCCGAAAGAAGTTTATTCGTTCACATTCTTGAGTCTCAAACACCTATAGAAACAAAACTACATGTACATATGCAGAGAAAGGGACCATTTGTCTAGACTGGCTATGACTTAAGAAACAATTTCAACCTTGAATTATCTGTAAGTTTATTGTCTCATTTAGTGTACTCCCACCCACCACCGAGGAAGCTCATAAACTCTTACTCAGGCAAAGAATGCAAATGGATTCTAATAACATACTAACACAAATAGGATTGGATATAGTTCTGAAGGTAAGAGGTGATGATGAACCTAAACGTCAATGTTCTAACCTGAATTCCAGCTCACATTTCCAACTGCCTAATGGGCATCTGTACCTGGGCAGCCTGCCAGAGCCTCCAATTCAAAGAGTTGCCCTCCTTCTCACCCCCTCCCAGAATGAGTGAATTCAACTGGCAAGACGGTCACAATTGTTGAAGCTAGTTGATGAGTACATGGGGGCCCTTGCACTTGTCTTTTATCCTTGTGTATGTTTGAAATTTGCTTAATAAAATAGTTGTTTAAAAAGTCACTGCCTGAACAATAGTTTTTGGATATAAGCAAATACAACTTATGGAAAATCAAACTATTCTATAAAGTGGATGCTATATTGTTCAACAGCGGATGTTATATATTAATGTATTTTTTAAAGGTTGACTACAAAACTATTAATTTTAAAGCTTATTATAATGTAAAACTGTATACATATACAAGAGTAGAGAGAATAGCATAATGAATCCCCATGTACCCATCACCAGCTGAAACATTTATCCACTCACAACTGACTGTTTTACCTATTTCCCTACCAACGCACCTACTCCCTGGAGTATTTTGAAGCAAATACACTATTTCATCTATAAATATTTTATTATTCATATATGGTATATAAGTACTATATATGAACATTACATTATTTTTATTATAGAATATTTCACGTAGACAGAATCATAGAGAGTGATATTAGGAAGACCCACATACCAACCACCCAGCTTTGTCAAAACTTCTGGCCATATTTGCTTCAGATTCCGTTAAAGTCTCTGTGTGCTTTCTTCAATCTCTACCATGTTCCTCCTCCCCCAGAGATAACCATTATCCTAAATTTTATCATTCTTACGCAGATTTTGACAATATGTATGTATCCATAAGATGTATATGATATTGCTTTGCATGTTTTAAAACCATATAAAAATGCTCTTATTTCAGGCTTTTCCATTAGATTGTGGAATTAAGGAAGTAAAGCAGAAAAGAGTGTTTTAGGAGGGACCCACAGTTTCAGGTGCTAAAGACCGGTCAAAAAAAATTAGAAATTGCAAAGGCACGCTGGACCTCACACGAAGGGGACCACTGGTTCCTCTGGGAGAGCAGCTGCAGGGGAGCAGACCCCAGACACAGCCCCTGGGACAGGCAGGGCAATGAGGATGTGGAGGCAACTCCCCCAGGAAGCCTGGCTGTGAAGAGGAGAAGGGAGAAGCAGCAGTGGCAGGCTTGAAAGCTGGAAGGAGCTGAGGTTGTGTGGATGATAATAAAAGTCCACTGTGAAAGGGAGCTGTGTGCAAGGGGGTGGGGAAAGCCAGCTGGATGGGATCCTGAGCCCAGTGGTGGCAGAGCAGCCCTTTACCACTATCACAGGAGAAGGGAGGGTGGTGATGATCAGTAGTTCTCGTGCTTGAATTCACAGCAGAGTCACCTGCAGGACTTATTAACATGGAGACTGCTGCGCCCCTGCCCAGGGTTTCTGATTCCAGAGGCCTGGAGTTGGTCTGAGGACCTGCATCTCTGCATCTCTAACAAGATCTGCATCTAACAAGGCAATGATGTTCGTACAGGTCCTAGGACCTCCCTTTGAGAACCACTGGTAAGGAAAATGTGTAGACAGGGTGACAGAAACTTGAGGAAGTTTCCAGGTTGTGCCTTTATTTTCTCTGGGACATTGTGAGGCATGTGCTGAAAATGAGGGGGGCAATGGTGAAACAAAAGGTGTGAGAATAAAAAACTCTAAGCCAGCTCTCCTGCCATCTGCATTCACCCTGTCACAGAGCAAGTACAGGTGAGGCTCTCGACAGGAAATCAATGAATCAACTGTTAATTGATTCAGCTGCTTCATACCCGTGCGAATCAAACATCAGAGCAAGGCCATGAACAGAGTGGGACAGCATGGTCAGGATGGGGAAGAAGCAGAAAGACAAGGTTTGGGGGAAAGCATTACAATTCCTTCCACTCTCCACTTAAATTCCAGATTTCTAATTTGCCCTCAAGTAATTCTACAGAAGTAGAGGAAGGAAGACCCGCCCTTCAGGTTCCAGGTACCTCGCAGGCCTTGATGTGTTCGCTCTGCCACTCTTCACGGACCTTATCCAGAGTGTTGATGTGCAGCATGTACGCCTTGTCTGCAATGGAGGGGAGGGGCCTGGGTCTGGAAACTGGATGGGAGGGGGCTCGCAGACCCATGAAAAATAAGCAAAGGTGGGCATCACATTCTTTATAAAGAAAAACCAAGCAATTAGCCAGAAATGCTCCAAGGAAGGAAAAGTGAAAGCTGACAAGGAACCTCAGCCAGGGTTTCCTTCCACATCTTACCATTTTCAGGAAAATTAAACAAACAATGAGGGGTGCAGAAAAGTGAACTACCAAGTTACTTCAGTTCTGGATTTAGAAACTTAAGCAACCACGGTTGTGAGAGGCTTGTCTCCGGCAGGAAACTCTGGCTGGGAATTAGAGGCCTTTGCAAACACTTGGTTTGGATTTTAGACTTCAGTGATGACAAGGCCTCACGACTTGGCTGTTTCTTTCACAGCAGAGAAGGGTTACCAGGGCTGAAAAGGGGTTTTAAGATAGATGTTCCCAATAAATCAGAGTGAGCACCTGGTCACAAAGCAGCTGCCACTTGACCCCCCCTCTTCCCCCACCCCCACCATTCAGTCACCTGTCAGGCAGCAAGACATAAGGCAGCAATGGCCAGAAACTGCTGCCTCATTTGCCTCCTCCCACTCTCCCGGGTTCCGATATACTCTCCCTTCCCCGCTCTCTTCCTTCCCTCTGTTTCCCCCTCCTTCCCTTCTCATACCTTGTTAATCCTACTGTATATGTATATATTCACTATTGTATAGTATATAAAACTACCTTTCTCGGACAGATTTAGGATAACATAAGCCCCACCACAATCCTCCCCCATCCTTGGGAGCAGACCCCTCACCTGAGTCTTCTACTGCAGTCTTTGAAGTTGCCAGTTTCACAAAAAGCTGTGAGGACAAAACAAAAACAAAAACAAACAAACAAACAAAGAAGAGGTCAGAAATGCTGGGCTAGGCTTCTAAAGGCAAAACAGATTTTAAAGCAATGACTGAGAAGAGACAAGTTCTAGTTCAAGTCTAACCTATATTTCTCTCATGAGTTAATCATTCAACTTGCCCTCTAATCTTAACACCATTGGAAAATAGCCATCAAGCATCTTGCCCTACATCTTCCTAAAAACATATCCCTCCCTACCTTCTGATTGCTGACAATCTTATATCCAGATTTTATAAAATTAAATTTATAAAACACCCAAGCAGGAGGCAGCCTAGCTATAAAGAATACACGAGCTGAGTTTTGAAAAAAGATGAAAACATCAGAACCCCCTCCCCTGTGGCTATGCTTCTCTAGCTCTTCCCCAACCCCCAAAATAGGACAAGGGTTTTTCTGGCTCCGAGGACTCTAATTGCCTGAAGGAGGGTATTGCCAGGAGCTTAGAGTGCAAGTCCATTTTTTATTAAGACTATTAATTGGCTTTGGCTTGATATATGTAAATCTCGGATTTTTCAGGCTGTCTGCTCTCCCAGGTACCTTTTCTTGTTGCTTCGGGTTCACCACGTTGGCACTCCGGTGGACAGCCTGCTCTGCTTCATCTTTGTCTCGGCATTTCTGCTCGTAGTTCTTCTTTGCCTTTGTAGTTATGAGCCAAAAGAGGATCAAAACAGATAAGCAGACAGTGACCCTAGCCCCCCACGCCCAGGAGAGAGGGCTCACTGATTAGGGCTCTGATCACCACTAGACTGGGGGCACTCAGAGGACATGCTCTTTCTTATCTATCTTTGGAAGGTCTCTCCAGCCCTTTTCCAAATCACGTATGTAGTGGCAACCGAACTTAGATGCAATCACTTGGACCTGGTAACTATATGTTTCAGTATTCTAACGCGCCTCCTCATAGCATGTGGACAGTGGGGAGGGTATCAATTCCATCATTTCTGTAGCTCAAGGGTAGTCATGTTCCTTCTTGATTTATAGAATTCTGTTTTAGCCAGTTTAAAAGTAGGCCATGGTCTCTCCTGTGCTACCATTACTATCAGCAGTATGAAAATAGTTCACAAACTACAGTTAGTGAATCAAATAATTTTCTGTTTCAACTCTTGAAGCAAAGAATTAACTTGTTCAAACAAAGCAAAGCTGTGAATCAGTTGGCTAACAAATAAAAATGATACTCCCCCCCAAAAATGCTTGACTAAGAATTAAGACACCTTTGCAGCGATGGTTTGTGCTCATCAAATATCTCACGTGCTTTCCTACATTTCTCAGCATCCCCTGCAGTTCAGTTGGGGTTAACCTTTCAGTAAACAACCTTATAATTCTCTCCGCTACACACACATAGAAACAAAAGTTCATAACTTTTCTTAATTATAAGCACATAAGATATTCATGCAACAGTTCTTTTCTTATGCAACAATATCTTATAGACACTTCTCTGTATCAAGCATGAAGCCTGCAGCTGAACACTTTTTAAAAAAATTTTTATTGGAGTATTGTTGATTTACAATGTTGTGTTAGTTTCTGCTGTACAGCAAAGTGAATCAGTTATAAATATACATGTATATCCACTCTTTTTTAGATTCTTTTCCCATATAGGTCATTACAGAGTATTGAGTAGAGTTCCCCATGCCATACAGTAGGTCCTTATTAGTTATCTATTTTATATATAGTAGTGTGTATATGTCAATCCCAATCTTCCAATTTATCCCTCCCCTCCTCTCCCTGCTGGTAATCATAAGTTTGTTTTCAATATCTGTTAAGTCTGTTTCTGTTTTGTAAATAAGTTCATTTGTGCCCTTTTTTTAGATTCCACATATAAGCAATATCATATATTTGTCTTTCTGTGTCTGACTTACTTCACTCAGTATGACAATCTCTAGGTCCATCCATGTTGTTGAAAATGGCATTATTTAGTTCTTTTTTATGGCTGAGTAATATTCCATTGTATATATGTACCACATCTTTTTTATCCATTCCTCTATTGATGGACATTTGGTTGTTTCCATGTCCTGGCTATTGTAAATAGTGCTCCAATGAGCACTGGGGTGCATGTATCTTTTCAAATTATGGTTTTCTCCAGATATATGCTCAGGAGTGGGATTGCTGGATGATATGGTAGTTCTATTTTTAGTTTTTTAAGGAACCTCCATACATACATTCCCACCAACAGTGTAGGAGGATTCCTTTTTTTCTCCACATCTTCTCCAGCAATTTTTTTTCTTTTTCTGGTGGGGGGTACGCGGGCCTCTCACTGTCGTGGCCTCTCCCGTTGTGGAGCACAGGCTCCGGACACGCAGGCTCAGCGGCCATGGCTCACGGGCCCAGCCACTCCGCGGCATGTGGGATCTTCCCAGACCGGGGCACAAACCCGTGTCCCCTGCATCGGCAGGCAGACTCTCAACCGCTGCGCCACCAAGGAAGCCCTCTCCAGCATTTACTGTTTGTAGATTTTTTGATGATGGCCATTCTGACTGGTGTGAAGTGATACCTCATTGTAGTTTTGGTTTGCATTTCTCTAATAATTAGTGATGTTGGGCATCTTTTCATGAGCTTTCTGGCCACCTGTATGTCTTCTTCTATTTAGATCTTCTGCCCATTTTATGACTGGGTTGTTTGTTTTTTTTGTTATTGAGCTATATGAGTTGTTTGAATATTTTGGAGATTAATCCCTTGTCGGTCACTTCATTTGCAAGTATTTTCTCCCATTCTATGGGTTATCTTTTCTTTTTGTTTCTGGTTTCCTTTGCTTTGCTGTAGCTGAACACTTTTAATGGTTGTAAATACACACACATACATATATAAATGCCACAATTTTCTTAACCAACTCTCTACTGGTGGACATTTACCTTATCTCCCATTTTGTATAACATAAAAATACTCTGATTTTTATTTTGGGTAGTGTGAATTTACAGGTCAGTTTCCTAGAAGTGTAATTGTTTTCACTAATTCATACTCCTATAAACACGTACGTGAGGGTATATGGCCTCATGCTCTTACCAACACCAAAATAAGACAATGTTTTTAACCTTTTCTAATACTAGAGTTGAGAATGTTGGCATATGCCTTGTTTTATTTGTATTTATTTCATTACTAAGGTGATATGTCATTTCTACCTCATGTCTTTTACCTACATTTTTTTTGGAGCATTCTTCATTTTAATTGATTTTTAAGAGTTCAGTCTATACTAGGAACACTAACTGGTTATAAATTATATAAGTTACTAATATCTTTCCCCATTTGTTATCACATATAAGATGATATTTTTTTCTTTTGCTCTAAAGAAGTCTTAAATTTTTTTTTTGACTGCACTGGGTCTTAGTTGCCGCACACATGATTTTTTAGTTGCAGCTTGTGAACTCTTAGTTGTGGCCTGAGAACTCTTAGCTGTGGCATGTAGGATCTAGTTCCCTGACCAGGGATCAAACCCAGGACCCCCTGCACTGGGAGTGCTCAGTCTTAGCCATGGGACCACCAGGGAAGTCCCAAAAAGTCTTAAATTTTAATGTCAGTTATCAATCTTTCTCTTTCTTGCATTATTTTTTTAATATGACATATTAAGCACTTTTTCTCTGTTGTTACATAGTCCTCATAATAATATTTTTAAAGGTTACACAATTTAATCTTTCTCCATTTTTGTCACTAAATCATTTACATTATAGTTTTCATTATAGGTAGTGAACACGGTAGTGTATTTTGTTTTTCTTATTTTGGATGATTTCCTAAAGATAGAGTCTTAGATTCTTAGCGTAAGATTGATGGGGTAAAAGCATATCATAAAATATCATTTTAAAAGGTTATATGGGCTCCAGAGAAGATGGAGCAGATGTACTCTTCCTTATTCCTCCACACAAGTATAACTAAAACCCCTGGACATTCTACATAAAACAAACATAAGATTCTGAAAGGTGGAGAGAAGAAGGCAGATTAGCTAATGTCCTTGATCTCAAAGAGAAAAACCTAGAAGTGAGTGCCCTGGGTTTTCTTTGGGCCTCTTATATCACAGAATGAATGCCAAAGCAGCAGACAACGAAGAAATGCCAATGGGCATAAACAAACAAAAAAAGGCCTAATGAAAACCTCCCCTCTCTAGCCAAAAGACCAGAAAAGGGGCAGCACAGCAGGACAGAAGCCTCCATGTTGTACAGCAGCCAAACACCACATAAAGAAACCATGCCCCACTCCCGCCCACCACACATCCAGCAAAGGCCAAGTGGGGAGTCTAGACTTCCACCCTCACCAGGCTATAATGTGGTTCCCAACTCCCCTGCTGAGGTGGTATCAGAGAAGGACCAATAGGGGACTGGGACCTTCATCCCCACCAGGAGGTAACAAAGCCCCACAAGCCCCACACACAGAGCTAGTGCAGACTCTGTGGGGAGCCTGGACTTCCACTACCCCCAGTTGGCAGTAATGAGGTACACCCCCTCCCTGCTGCAGTGGTGTCAGAGGAAGTCTAATGGGGATTCAGAACTTTAATCAACCCCCAGTAGTAACAAGGCCACACTGACCCTATGGTGTCAGTGGAGGCCAAGGTGGGGAACCTGGCCTGGAACCCCTCATAGCAGTAATGTGGTGGCACTTCACCTCAGTTGCTCGAGTGGTGTCAGAGGAAGCCAGCTAAAATAGAAGGTTTAAATAAGATCCAGAGTCTTGCAACAGAATACCTAAAATGTCCAAAATCAATTGAATATCACTTATCATACCAAGAACCAGGAGGATCTCAAACTGCATGAATAAAGACCATCAATAGATGTCAACACCAAGAAGACAGAGATGTTACAATTATCTGACAAAGATTTTAAGGCAGCCATCATAAAAATATTCAATAAACATTTGCAAACACACTTGAAACATGAAAAAATAGATAGTCTTAGCAAAGAAAAAGAAAATCTCAGCAAAGAAACAGAAGATATAAACAAGAACCAAATGGAAATTTTAGAACTGAAAAATATACTAAATGAAAGAACGGATGTATGAATGGAAGAGATAGAAGAAAGAATTGGTGAACTGGAAGATAGTACAATAGAATTTACCTGATCTGAAAAACAGAGAGCAAATAGGCTGAAAACAAAATGAACAGGACCTCATGAACCTTTGGCACCATAACAAAAGATCTAACATTCATGTCCTTGGAATCCTAGGAGAGAAAGGTGGGCTGGAAAAGTACTTGAAGAAATAATGACTGATGAAAAGAATGAAATAATGCCATTTGCAGCAACATGGATGGACCTAGAGATTTTCATACTGAGTGAAGTAAGTCAGACAGAGAAAGAGATATCATATGAGAATGAAATAATGCCATTTGCAGCAACATGGATGGACCTAGAGATTTTCATACTGAGTGAAGTAAGTCAGACAGAGAAAGAGAAATATCATATGATATCCCTTACATGCGGAATCTAAAAAGAAATGATACAAATGAACTTATTTACAAAACAGAAACAGACTCACAGACTTAGAGAATGAACTTATGGTTACCAGGGGGGAAGGATAGTTAGGGAGTTTGGGATCAACATGAACACACTGCTATATTTAAAATGGATAACTGGGACTTCCCTGGTGGTCCAGCGGGTAAGACTCCTCACTCCCAATGCAGGGGGCCTGGGTTCAATCCCTGGTTGGGGAACTAGATCCCACATGCATGCTGCAACTAAGAGTCCACATGCCACAACTAAAGATCCTGCATGCTGCAATGAAGATTCCACGTGCTGCAACCAAGACCTGGCACAGCCTAAATAAATAAATAAATAAATAAATATTTTTTAAGAAAATAGAATGTATAACCAACAAGGACCTACTGTATAGCACAGGGAACTCTGCTCAATGTTATGTGGCAGCCTGGATGGGAGGGGAGCTTAGGGAAGAATGGATACATGTATATGTATGGCTGAGTCCCTTTGATGTGCACCTGAAACTATCCCAACATTGTTAATCAGCTATACTCCAATATAAAATAAAAAGTTAAAAAAAAAAAGAAAGAAAGAATAGCTGAAAACTTTCCAAATTTGGCAAAAGATATAAACCTACAGATTCCAGAAGCTGATCAAACCCCAAACAAGATAAAGCCAAAGAAATCCATGACAAGACATAGAGGTGAACTTCTGAGAACTAAAAAAAGAAAATATCATATCTTAAAGCAGAAATGACACCTTATCCATAAGAGAAAATCAGTTTGAATTACAGCAGCTTTCTTATCAGAAACTATGGAGGCCACGAGGAAGTGGCACAACATTTTTCAAGTACTGAAAGAAAAGAACTGTCAACACACAATCCTATACCCAGTGAAGACATCCTTTAAGAATGAAGAGGAAATCACTAAAGGAAAATTAAGAGTAGTTATCACTAGCAGCCCTACGCTGAAGAATGGCTAAAGAAGTTCTCCAAGCAAAAGAAAATTATAGAAGAAGAAACCTTGGAACAGCAGAAGAAAAGACACACCAAGCAAAAAATCAGTAAATACAATAGTCTTCCTTTCTCTTCTGAGTTTTCTAAATTACTTTTGACAGTTGAAGCAAAAATTTTAACACTGCTATGGCTCTAAATGTAGGTAGAGGAAATAGGAAAATTATATTTCAATAAGGCTTTCTCTTTAATTGTGAGAGAGCTTTCCCCAGATTGCTCAAAACATAAAAGTTCTGGGAGTAATCATATATCAACCAACGCCATTTCTGCATTACACTGACATCATTCCCTATTTATCAGTCGCTTTTCAGGTGCTCTGCATCAAAGAATAAAAAATGCAGAATAGACTGCATACGCCATCAACGTTGGTGACATTTTCTTTTTTGACCAAGTTACCAGATATGATGTCATAGTCATAGAATATCATGATGATACTTCTGTACAAAGATGGAGTCACAGATGTTCCAGTAACAAAGTTTCATTTTTAAGAGATTCATGAAAAGCTAGAGTGAGGTCCCCAGCAACTTCTCTTAGTTCTATCTTGTTAAGCATTTTTAAAATAAATTACTTAAAGTAAAGGAGGCTTTTACTATTTGCAGATATCTTAAAACTCAATAAAAATAGGTAAGAAATCAAGATTCAAAACAGTCTTAACAGGGAAGAAGCTCAAACCCAAAAAGATAAAAGACATCATAAAGTATACACGCCCTGGTCTGAAATATTTAAGTTGACTTGCTATACCTTCCCAGGTTGCCAGAAAGATAACATCATTGTATTTCTTCTGTCTGATTTCATCCTCAACCTTTCCAAGGCCTTAAATAGAAAGTCAAACCACCAAAGGTTGTTTTCCCTAAAACACTGCACTAATGTTATTTTCAGGAATATGTTGATACATAGCACAGGATATCAGAAAATATCACCATTACAAAAAAAAAAAAAAGGCAACATAGTGAGACTCACATCCATGGTTTTCTTGAATTGTAAGCTCTTTTGTTTATGAGCAGCATCCATTATAAGCTCCGTCTGTGCAGAGAGAACAGGCACTATTAATAATCAAAACCAATTGTTAACACCAGCTTATCTTGAGGGCTGAGTGTTCAACGTGGCTTATCTCAATTAGTCCTCACACAACCCAGAGGGTAGATGTGCTATTTATTATTACTCCCATTTCACAAATAAGGAGACTGCAGCACAGAAAAGCTGAACAATTTGCCCACCTTTGAACCTGGGTGGCCACTAGCCACTATTGAGAATCACTGATCATCTTAGAGTATCCTTATCAGTAAATCTGGAATCAAGATTTTAAAACTCTGTTAAAGCACCATTTATATTTTAAAAGGGGTCTTTATTCTGTAAGCCTATGTCAGCACAGTTAAAGACTCAGAAACATTCACTTCTGTGGCATCTGTCAATGGCACGTCCTTCACCAGCAAGGAGCCCAAGCAGTATGAAGGGAAGAAATGCTTGTGGGACAGCTAAAAGAAGCTGTTCCCCTACACTTTACCCCATCTAATCCAGGAAAGGTAAGCTACTCTTCAAGTTCACTTGGGAGCAACTTCTTTGCTGTGGCTGTGATGTTAATACTTTTATTCGTCAAAATAATGGAGCTAATAATAAAAATGTAGCTCTCAGACATAATAGTAGCTCCCATTTATTAAGCACTATTATGTGCTAAGCAACTTTCATGCATCACAACAACTGTGAGTACTCATCCCCATTTTCTTGACAGTAAACTGAGATGGATTAACTCACCCAAGGTAATACTCTCAACAAGTAGCAGAGTTGGGATTTGGGCACAGCCAGACTCCTGTGCCCTTGTTCCTAATCATTATCCAAAACTATCATTATTCTTATGATAGCTCTTTAAAACCAAATGGCTATATAAAAGGCCAAGAAATGCAACAATTCAAAATGAGCTATGGCATTGCTCTTATACAAAATTATATAACCCAAAATAATGTTGAAAATGATATTAAAAGATTTCTCTTTCTTCTGGAAAACTAAGTTTTTGTCTGTTACCATAGCACACAAACATGGATGGATTTTCAAGATATCTGGATGGAAGGTTTGGGATGGTCTCACTTCAAATATGAACTTTGTGGAATACACGAAACTCCCTTGGGGGAGCCCCAAGGGACCCTCAGGGAACAGAACAGCCATCTTCCAGCCCAGCTGAAATTGAGGGACCAGGAGGTAGCTAATGGTCCCACGGAGGCGCCAAGGACATGGAGAACAGACAGGGCTCCAACGTGACCCAACAGGGAAAGACTCATGGGCAGCTCCCTGCCATCAAAGACAGGGAGCTGTGTGGCTCACGTGAGCATCTATGTGCCTCTGCCAGGAGGGGCAGGGTTTATTCATAATAATAAACCCTGATTTTCCCAGGCTCCACAGAGCAGATCAATTAGCAATGTCGGTCCATCCGTGGTCCTTTCTACTCTGAATATACACACTGCCATTCTTCCAGTTCGGGAGCTGCTATTAATTTATAGTTTATGGCCCAAGCCAGGCCTCCTTATCTCCAAGTTCTATATAACACCTGCTTCAAGCACCTCTCGCGTGTCTACAAAGTTCTACTTCATACCATTCTTCTCTCTGCCTTCAAAGATTCCTGGCACTTGTATGTCGGAAGGATCTTAGAAAGCAGCAGTCCAGCTCTCATCTGACAGGTATGATCCCCAGGGCCCATGAGGTGATATTGCTCAAGGCCACTCAGTGACACCCAGTCCAGCTCTGTCTGCTATACCACCTTGATTTAAGTCTCCTCATGTCCATACTCACTTGTAGGGTGACCTATTCATGGTGACCCCAGAAAGTCTTCTCTTTCATTTCAGGTGGGCTTTTTTTTTTTTTTTTTTTTTTTTTTTTTTGACTGCACCATGCAGTACGTGGGATCTTAGTTTCCCAACCAGGGATTGAACCTGTGACGCCTACAGTGGAAGTGCAGAGTCTTAACCACTGGACTGCCAGGGAAGTCCCCTCTTTCAGGACTCCTTGGGGAAGTTTTTCTTCTAGGACTCATTCTTTCTGCTTAGACCAACTCCAGTAGAAATTTGATTATGTTTTGTTATCAATAACACAAAATAGTGCAAAAACACAATCCTCTATGCTATCAAGTGGGGAGAAGCAAGAGGGAGGGGAAAAGGAAGAAGAGATTTATAAATGACCCAAGTGACCCTGCAGTAAATTACTGACAGAGCTGCTGAGTGGTCTGTTTGTCTACATACATTCAGACTGTACTCTGAAAACTGGAAGTGAAAACCTGCATGTCCAAAGAGGTTCCCTTTGGAGACTGCTCTCGACACAGGCAGAACATTCTGCTGTGATCGTCCCTATCTTAATATGGGCACCAAAGGAGAGAATGACTGACCACATGCTGCCTTTGTCAGGCTTAGGACGTTCTGGGCTGGGAAGGAACTCCAGCACCTAAAATGTCAAGCCTCCTGAGAGTGGCTCCGAAGATCCCTCTCTGCCTGCCAACCTCCAGGGGTGAGAGACTCCTCTCACTCTGCCCTCACCCACACTGCCTTTCACTCTGCTGGCTTTAGCTTCAAGGTCGCTGCCTCCAGAAGGCCTCCCCAGACCAATAAATTAGGTTAAGTGTCCCCACTTCATGTTCAGCTGGCACCTTCACTTCCCTACCTTTTAAGGCTCATCACACTTTGTCATGATTACTGTCACGTCAGTCTCTCTAGCCATGCTCTATGCTGTGGGGGAGAGATGGCCATGGCCGCATTGGTTACCACCCTCAGAAAACAGTAGTCCTGTAAGTGAGTTCACCAAAACTTCTACCAGCCATTCTATCTGCACCTCCCCCATCCCAGTTTGCTAAAAGAAACTAACTGATGGATTTCCTGGAAATGGCTTAATTTCCAAGAAGTGAGAGACCAGCGCATGCAGGGTTTGAGCAGTGAAAACGAGAAGTTAACACTAACACATTTTCTCCAAAAGTTTGCTTTTTTAAAAAAAAGGTATCAATACAGAAGTGGAACAACCCAGAGTTCACTGCGACACAAGTAATTACAAATTTATTAATGAACTTTGGACCCTGCAAAGAAAGCTCAGAAGGTGTTTTCCTGCTCTTGAGAGCACACAATATAGGGAATTTGGATGACAGTGGTGGAATGAGCCCAGGCGCCTCTGTTGCTTAAGAGAATTCAGAACAGTTCTTCTAGCTGCGAGAACTTGGTCTTTGTAACCTGCTAGGAAGGGAAGTTTCAGAAGCCTTGCAAAATTAACAAAACTCTCCCTGAAATAACTAAGGCAACTGAGGGCGCTTAAGAATGTGAGGAAATGACCCTCTTCCCCTCTTAGGGGAAATCACGTGTGCACAGACTCTGGTTGTCTAAGGCATTTTGCTTCTGAAAAATTGTAAATCCTTTGGAGAGGCAGGCAGGGCTGGCAATGTCGCCAAAAAGAGTTTGACCATCCAGTAGATGGATGTAATATACATATTATTTTTGCTCTGAAAAGTACTTTAGGTCAGATGCACCCCCTCAAACCTCATACATGAAGCTTGAGTTTGTGTGAAAACACTTGACATGGTGTTCCTTAACTGTTGGTTTCTACCCTTCCTTCTATAAGAGGTATAGCAGTAAGAGCGGCTCATGAAATGACAATATATGTAAGGCAGTCGGGCTCTTAAGATACTGCCACCCACTCTGAATGCCAAGTAGCCACCAAGGAAGCTGGAATTAGACTCTGATTTAGAACCACAGGCAAAGCTGCTGAGATTGAGGTAGGGGTAGAGCCAGCTGTTTACTGAATACACACTGCAGACTTCCAGACAGTAAAGGGCCAAGATGAAGAAAGATGTCCAAAAAGTCCATGCAGAGATGTCTGGAGAGACCTGGGTGGGAATGTTTGGATGCCAAATAGGGAAGAGCTTATCCCCCACGTGAAGTTCATTCCAACCCTGGAGACCAGATGTTAAAAAAAGTTCTGGGGACTTCCCTGGCAGTCCAGAGGTTAAGACTCCGTGCTTCTGGTGTGGTCAACAAATTTAATTAATTAATTAATTAAATGTAAAAGTTCTGGAAGGGCCCTATCTGGCTGCCAGGCCAACCTGAATGTACAAGTCTTTAAGGAACAAAACAGAAGGAAGTCAGAACAGTGGTCTAGTCTAAGGAACACTTTAATATAAATCTGGACTTCTTTTCTTGATGCCTATAACTTCCCAAATGTTTACCAGTTTTATTAACTCTTGTTCACTCCCATCTCCTTCCATATAATTGTCCAGAATAAACCCTATCAAGGAAAAAGAGCCTGTAAACATCTGCTTTGAGGCCCAAAAGACTTGAATTTCCCAGGGCCTCAGTTTCCCTACTTGTAAAATAGGGTGGTTGGATGACATTATGGTCTCCAGGGAGAACATGGGTCCCCTCCACTTCTTATCCTCCCCTTACTGTCTTGTCCAGGAGGAGGAGTGTGGTCTGAGAACCTACCACCTTGGTACAACATGCTAGACCCTTATGAAGACAGAGGGGTTCCCCTTTCCAGTCATAGTTTAAACAGTGGCAGCAGACATAAAAAGAAGAGGAAAGCAGGCTGGATCCCTGACTCTTACAGCAATTAAAAAAGAACTGCCCTAACGTGCAAATGGGCACAGAGGCATCACCATCTAGGCTGAGTGCCCGTATGGTTCCCAGTAAATAATCTCATAGGTTAAAAGAGTGTGGGTGCTTGAGGGTAGGAAATGGATCAAGGAGTTTAATGAACAAACAAGCCTGGAATTTTCTGCTGGAAGAACGGCAACATCTTAACACATACGTAAACCCAACCTTTTTTCGCTGTAACTTTTGCTTTTCTCTGAATTCTTCCATCTTCCTGGCCTCTTCTCTTAGAGTCTGTGCAAGCTGAATGTGACTTTGTGCCACACTGTCTATTTCTGCAAAAAGAATTTAAAAAAATAAACAAGATCTACACATGTCTGAATTCAAACCAAAGAAACTCTACAAAAAGTTAAAATACATACAAAATGCTAAGGCAAGTGGTAAAGTTAACCTGCTTCACTTGGCCACCAACATTTATTGAGCCCCTCCATGTGCCCAGCATTGCCCTGGCCACCACGACCAAGCTGGCAAACCTTTAGCTTAGCTTCCTACCACTAACTGCTCCTAACCTAGTGTATGCCCAGGGCCAGGGAGAAGCTCATGGAGCTTGCATGCTAGCACACATTACTAAACCCATTACAATTTCAAATTCGATCCTATTTCTCATTACATGACTCTAAGGTTCTTTCCATCTCTAAAATCTCATGAGCCCGTAAGAAATTTATCTCTGGATAGAAAGATTATTGGTGTTTTTCCCTTTATTTTCTTTGTAATAAGCATGGCTTACTTTTTTAATAGAAAAACCGAAATGCTTACCTTTCTTGTTCTAAGAAAACAAATTGAAGATGGCATTAAAGCTAGAAAGACTGACAGATCTGACCTAAGGAAAAATTTTAAACTTGCGTGTGTGTCAAATAACCTTGAACAAGGTTAGAAGGTACATGACAAACTGGAAAAAATATTTGCAATTTATGTAACAAAGGGCTTTCACAAATCAAAACAAATATATATATTCCAGTATTTTTTAAATGGTTAAAAAAACAAGAAATTTTTAAAAAGATTGGCCAAATAAATAGCCAGTAAACATTTGAAAATGTATTCAGCCTTAAAACTGCTGAAAAAACACAAAGCTTTAAAACCCTGAAAACTATCACCTTTTACCTTTCAGTTCGGCAAAATTTTTAAAGTGTAAAAATTCTTGGTATTGGCAAGCATGGGGAAAAACAGCACTGTTGGTGGGGAAAAAAATCAGTATCACCTTTCTGGAGGGAACGTGGCATTTTGTAGAATAAAAATATTTTAAATGTAAGAGTGAGACAGATCTGCGTGAACTGAAATGGAAAGATGTCTAGAACCACTCAACTAGCTACAGAAACATGTTAAGCACATACTGTGCCACATTAAAGTCCTTAGCTTGGAAGCATGAAGAACAGAAGGACTTAAAGTCTTCAATTCTGAGTAACAGGCCCAGGGAATACTAGAACTGGACAGGACCCCTGGAGGATCAGTGCCAGGGCCTCACTCTGAGTTTCCAGTGTGAGATCCACTGCCCTAAGCAAGTCAAATGTACATCATAACGTGCAAGTGTGGACGGTTCTCCAGCTCATTTCAACTCTGAAGGGCTATTCCTCAACTTAGGAGTTGCTCTGATTTTTTTTTTTTCACCCAGTATGAGATTGCTGCTCAAATTAAAACCCACCTTTGATGACAGACACAGAGCTTACCAAAGACAGCAAATACATTTTTAAAGAATCACTTACGCAGCTTGAAGACGTCAAGGGCCCGCTTCAGGGTGCTTAAAAAAAAAAAAAGCACATATATAATTTCGGTTCTGGAAATTGGCTGTATAACCTTATTATAATGCCATTGTATGTTTCTCTCAGCCCACATCTTAACTGATAGTCTATGGTCTGATCTTTGCCTGGGAGCTTGAGAAGACACCAAAAGATCAAGACTTCTTCAGTCCCGTTTCCTCTCTTACCCTTTCAGTCCCAGGCACAAGCATCATAAATGCTTCACTGTCTACCTGGGTGGAGCCAGATGCCAAAATTCTTTATGCTTCATTTCTCCCAACAATAATATGGGAGTTATGGTCCCTTTCTCATAAGAATACCAGTCATTCTTTAAAGTATGGTAATTAGAAATATGAATACATAAAGGAAGGATTCAAACTGTGGCTCCTGATCACCTCCTTTTTCATCCATTCTTCAATCAACACATACTTACTGCACATAAACTATGGGCCAAGGCATTGCATCAGATGTTGGTGATTCAACAGTACAAGACAGATATTGTCCCAGACTTAAGAGTCTTAACGGAGGAGACAGACATTAAACACATTGATTTAGTGTTCTACCGCTGATGAACAAACTACCACAAATTTAGCAGCTTAAAACAAGAAACATTTCTTACCTCACAGTTCCTGTGGAGAAGACCATAACTCATTTTTCATACCTTCTCTCAGTCTCCCCCCTCCTCTCCCTCATAACCCATGGCTCCTCCTCCCTTATAGCTTGCCCTTGCCCATGGTTTTAGTTCACCCCCATCCTACACTTCCTTAATAAGCTTCCTTTTAGGGCTTCCCTGGTGGCGCAGTGGTTGAGAGACCGCCTGCTGATGCAGGGGACACGGGTTCATGCCCCAGTCTGGGAAGACCCCACATGCCGCAGAGTGGCTGGGCCTGTGAGCCATGGCCGCTGAGCCTGCGCATCCGGAGCCTGTGCTCCACAATGGGAGAGGCCACAACAATGAGAGGCCCGAGTACCACAAAAAAAAAAAAAAAAAAAAAAAAAAAGCCTCCTTTTAAGGTGAAGTGGCCCTGGGGATTTTCTTGCTCACTGCTGCCTTCATGGAAGCATATCTCACTGGGCTCACTCCAGCCACTCAAGAAGGAATGGGACTTAGTGAAGTCATGGTCCCCCAGCCCCTAGCCACAACAGCATGGGATCATGGATCATATTCTATATGTATAAACGTAGGTGGCAAGTTCTGCTATTTTGCAAACTAATAACCCTTGTATCTTCCAGCTGGCCCCTTCTTTTAGCTACACCTCATTTTTCTCACTCTGTTTATTTGTCCCAAAACAAAGCATGCTTATTTCTCCCTGCCTTTTCTCACATAAACATTCCCAGTTATTACAAACACACTAAGCAGAAAAACATAACTGCACAGTCTCCATACACTTTATCCATCTTATGATACAATTTTTCAAGGAATGCAATGCACTAGAAAAGTGTCCATATCCAAACAAATGCACAAGTGGCCCAGAAGGATGAATGAGCCCCACTGGAGAGCAGACTTATGACTGGAATTAGTAAGAGAGAAAGATGGCTATGGCTGCAGATACAACTGGAAGTCTTCCCCATAGTGAGTTGTGGAGTTGGAAAGTGACTTAGAGATAAAGTCTGTTCAGGGTCTAAAATTTTTCTCCCACCCTAAGTGACTGCCTAAAACGCCACTAAAGTAGCAGCCCCAAACTCCCTTTAGTTTGTCATCAGCTTTGTTGTCCTACACCATCACTTTATTGATGTTTCCCATGTCCAAAACGTGACAACAATCAGGATAGAATCTGAACCTTGGGGATGGTGTTCTCACAACGTCCATGCCCTCTTCTCCCTGGTGTTCTCCTTAACTGTGGGAAAAGAAAATATTCTGCCACCTTTCAATAAGCACTTTGGCCTTAAACCCTAACAGGGCCCATCAGAAAGCTGAAGTCTCTCAAAGTGGTCGATGAGGTGAAAAAATCCTGTTTAGTCCCTGGACAAACAAAGTCATGCACTCTCATCTAGGGCACCTTCCTAAAGATCATCCTGGAGGTGACAAAAACAGAAGTACCTGAATGGATTTTCACTTCCACCTTGGAAACACAGTCCCCAGGTCTCATATCCTGTTGCACCTTCCTCTCTGAGGCATTCTTAGAAGGAAAACTGACGGGCTTTCATCACAGAAGAGAATGGCGCTAGAGTCTCTTAATGAATTTACCAAGTTTAAGTCAAATGTGCAAGAAATACCACTTTGGATCAGACTCATTCTGCCAAATATATTTTTCAAGAAGTACTATGTGAGAGAATATGGCTATTTTCCATCACATCACCTAAAATTTTTTTGGATATCTTCCCAAATGGCTTATGCTTCTTTATGAATAAACAAGTTTTTGGATCAACTGACCCACTAATCTTCCTTGAAAGTATCTAAACCCTCCTTGAATAACAGTGAAACCTACCTAATACTATGCAATTCTGACCTTGAACATAGAAATGTTTTACATATTCAAAAAAGAAACTAAACCAAGCAGGAAAAGAAAATAATCCTTAAAATTTAAAACAAACAAACTTAACTATATATAAAACTGTTTACATAATCACACAGAAAATAGTATTTTATATGACCTTAGAACACAGTGTTCTTAGTGGAATATAAGGTCAAGAAGAACCGCAAAAAGAACTGCAAAGAAATGTTAAGTTTCATTCAGAAGTTTTATTGTTAGTAGCAGTTTAATATTATTATTTTGAAACATTTTACTATATATTGTCATATAAAGCAAATAATTCTGCTAATATTGTCAGGAACCAAGATTTTTCAGTGCAAGAGGAAATAAATATAAAATGAAAGAAGTTAAGTGAACTGTAAAGTTAATTAGAATTGGAAATATCAGTATGAACTCAGGCTTTTAAAATCTGTCCCCTGAAAGAGCTTAGAAACAGTGACACCTCTGTGACAATGACCAACACTAGAACTCAGAGTTTCATCTCTAAATATGATTAATCATGAAGGAAAACCTGGAGAAATATGTGGAAAAATAGCTGACTCCAGGTTTAAATTCACCAAAAAACTACATTAAGAAAATATGACAAGTATGAATAATTGTTAAATCTGGGTGATGGATTCACAGCCATTCATTACATTTGTCTTTTTACTTTTCAGTGTGCTTTAAATTTTTTCATTTAAAACATCAAAAATATATAGAATATAATCAACAAACAAATTCTCCTTGTACTAATGTCCTATGTCTGAGGGTAACAAGTTTTTAAGGTTTATGTAACTGTTAATATTTTAAATATCCCCCAATGTTTTCCTCCTCCTCAATAATCCAGTACTTTGTAGTCTGGGATGACTGAGTGTGTGTGTGTGTGTGTGTGTGTGTGTGTGTGTGTGTGTGTGTGTGTCTTAGGATCAAGAGAAGAGAAGGGGAAGGGCAATGTCTTGTCTGCTCCCTGTACTACCTCTGAGGGGACCCAGACCTCAGGGTGTCTCTGCAGCTGTCTACAGCACAGCCAAAGCAGTGTGCATGTCAGCATGAGGTGTGATTACATCTGCAGAGATCTTCAAAGGTCTGCCTAAACAATTTCCCCCTAGTCTCCCTCAGTATGCTATGTTAGAGAAGGAATTTAGAAATTTCCATGTGAGTAGGACTGGCTACATAATTTGTGAGGCCCACTGCAAAATGAAACTGTAGGACCCCTTGTTTATAAATCACTAAGAATTTCAAATAGTGACAGCAAAGAGCATTAAACCAATTATGAAGCCTATCTATGTGTGAGATCCTATATGACTGCCCATAAAGCCAGCCCTGTATACGAGGGAGTGTGTTCCTAAAGTACGCACCATGTCTGGCCATCTCTGTATCCTCAGAGTATTCAATGAATGATGGAAGAATAAATAATTGTGGTAAAGAAATCTCACAGTGGTGGTGAGAACTATGAAATAGTACAAAGAGAGTCTCTTGTAGCTATCACAAACTATGGGTGTGTTTTATACACACACAAACACACATACACACATATATATATACATATAAATAAAACAAGAATACCCTATCAAACTTCTAGCATAAAATTATGTATAATTCTACCTATAAAAAGTATACGTAGGGGGCTTCCCTGGTGGCGCAGTGGTTGAGAGTCCGCTTGCCAATGCAGGGAACACGGGTTCGTGCCCCGGTCCGGGAAGATCCCACATGTGGTGGAGCGGCTGGGCCCGTGAACCATGGCCGCTGAGCCTGCGTCCGGAGCCT